AGTAGGTACTGTGTGGTGGGCTTTGCAAAACCTTTTGAGCCGCGGTAAGTGAATTTGCGCAAAAATATGTGCACGTCTCAATGAGCTCAGCACACACTGTCAGCCGGTCACATATGCTCGAGCTGACTGACAGAGCCGTCAATTTCGTGTTTCATCATCGAGAGTCGTTCAGATGGAGAGCTTTTTTATTGTTCTTGTGAGAGACATGTGCGATATGCTACAATAACATTTGCAAACAAGGACATTAAAACTGAGTTTTGCAAAAGCAAAATGTAAGGTATGATTAGTCAGATTTTATCGACTGCATCGTAAAATTGTGGGTAAAATGTACTAATTGTTACAATGACATCGACGGCGACTGACTGCAATGGAAGGTTGGTTCATACAGATCGATTCCATGACCAGCCACAATTTCGAACTTTCGTCACACTCGTTGCTCGGCCACTCTTCTCGGCGAACGGCCAGGTCCACTTGGAAAACAATCTCTGAGATATGTTCATATGATTCGTGTTTTTATTATGTTCTGTTTTGATTTCGGCATTCTGCACCCATGCCACCGACCGGCAGCACGGCGGCGCTGACTGGGATAATGCACGCCAATTATGGATTATAACAAGCTTTCGTTTTTTTTATTTACTTGTCAACCTGACATGGCCGGCGAAGATTTCGTATGGTATCACAAGGAGGTAAGTCGTAGCTAGATACAAACAAAGATGATTATGTCAGCTACTTAGCCACACGACGTTGGGTGTCTGACAGGCCTTTTTGAATAGATGTAGTTTGCGGATGAATAGCAGTGTCTGATGGACACAACAATAACACCGTCTGGAATCCGTTTTGATTCGAGTGTGTTCAACCCCTTTGAAACGGACAATTTGCATATGCTCTGTTATGCTTACAGTTGATGTATTATTATTTTTTTTTCCGCTGTGAAGAAGTAATTCGTTTGGAAAAGTTTATTTCTTGCAACATTCATATTTTTCAATTTAAGTTTACGAAGTTGCATGTGGCGTCGGTACCACCATAAAACTAACGTCAAACTTTTCGTTCTTCTTTAAGATTTCTCAGCACATGAAACTGATTGAGCACTACCACAATGATAATGATGTTAAACAAATTCTAAAGGAAACAGCGAAGTAAGAGAAATTTGTTTTGCGTGTACCATTTGTACATTAGTATAATTGTGTGGCAAGTACCAGGAAGGTCGAGAAATTGTTCAACCCGACAAATTCGTAGATCGGGACATGGAATCAAACCCAACCACCACCAGCATGGTCTTGCTTTATAGTTACACCTTTACCGACTGAGCTAAGAGAGGCCCCGACCCGCTTGTGATTGACGAAGGGTTATTTAAAAGCAATGTAGCGGAAGCAGCAGTTTCTTTTGTGGAAATGGACATGTTGATTCCAACTCCACAGTGCTCAAACGGTTCCAATTCGGGTCCTGATTAGCCTTCACAATTAAAACTCATTTAGTAAGAAATTCACTTGGCACAAACCATCAGAAGTTTATATGGAGATTACAATGAGAAAACCAAACTTTGTGTTCATTGTCTTATAGTCTTTTTCCATATTGTACTGTTAAACATTTCTATAGCTACTATTATGGGAAATTTGTTCAGCTACAACTTTGCATGAAATTCTGTAATAATTTCATAAGAGATTTACAATCTTCATCTGTTTTATGGCCAACACTGCATTCTGCAGCGTGACATAGTAGCCATGATTGTTGTGCTGTATTCTACGCGCTAGAGACACCAATGTTGTCTTCTGAACTGTTGATTGAACATAATCATAAGACATGAGTGATTTTTTTTCATGATATTTATTAAAGTGAGTTGCGAATAAATAGCTTGCAATTTTCATAAGCATATCTAGCGATATCGTAGTGCAGAATCATTTTATTTACGTTTAGAATTCCAAACTTCTTAGGGTGTCTCCAAAGATTGTCTCCCCAACTAACAATTTTCACAATGTAAACGCTTTGCTCATTTCATTTATACAGCATCAAGCTGTATTCAAATGCTATACGATTTGAGACAACCTTTACTCACCTTTATACAAGTAAATCTGGCGAACTTTGTCAGCTACTTATGGCTGTTGGGACGGTTGGAACAAGCTTTTATTGCATTTCCATTTTCGTTTCTATACAGCTGTTATTCTGCTGTTTTAATTGTATATGAACTTGAAAGGTGCTTATTCAACCTTTTCCCGATTGTCCAATAATAACTACGCAGCTTGACCCTGAAGCTGGGTTTAATATTGTTTACTTTTATTGATGGGAGAATTTATTGATTTTATTTACCTGCGAATTAAATTACTCTAAATTAGATATAAGCACACCTCCAAATTATTATCCTGTTAATTACATTAGATGAACTTAAAACTATTTGCTTTTCATTAGGAAAAACGGCTGGAGTAGATAATTTTAATGCTAGAGTTATTCAAGATTGCTTTCATGTCATTCGACACACTCTGCGGGACCTTATAAATCAATCATTGCAATCTGGGCACGTGCCGCATATTTGGAAAGAATCTTTAGTTGTTCCTATACAAAAAGTTGCTGGGACGATTAAAGCCGAAGAGTTTCGTCCCATCAACATGTTGCACACATTAGAGAAAATTTTAGAACTTGTTGTAAAAGGCCAGCTGTTAGAATATTTAAATAGTAACTGTTTGTTGATACCGGAACAATCGGGATACCGGGAAGGCCATTCTTGTGAAACCGCGTTAAACTTAGTGTTAGCTAAATGGAAAGAAAATTTGGAGCATAAAGATACGATTGTTGCTGTGTTTTTGGATCTAAAACGCGCTTTTGAGACAATTTCTAGGCCCTTATTGTTAAGAACAATCAAGCGTTTCGGGTTCTGCATACAAATGGTTTGAAAGCTATTTATCTGACAGAACACAAAGGACTGTTTTTAATGATTTTGTATCTTGTTCCGTTGACAATGACCTTAGAGTGCCACAGGGAAGTGTATTAGGGCCCCTTTTATTTATTATGTATATTAATGACATGCGACGAGTTTTACGGTTTTGTGATATTAATCTTTTTGCTGACTATACTGTGTTATTCATTGCAGCTAAAGATGTAGAAGAAGCCGTTTCACGCTTGAATGAAGATTTGCGTTCTCTAAGTAGATGGTTGAAGTATAAACAATTGAAATTGAATATAAGTAAAACTAAATTCATGGTAATTTCGCGGAATCGTGTAGATGAGGATGTCTTTGTTGTTATTGATGATGAGACAATTGATCGCGTTCAGGAAACTAAATATCTTGGCGTGATTATTGATGACAAACTCAAGTTCAATTCTCATATTGACAATGTCATCAAGAAAATTGCCAAGAAGTATTGAAACACGATTTAACTATTAGCAGTAAAATACAGTTATACAAATCAATCATCTCCCCTCATCTAGACTTTTGCCCTTACATTTTATTTTTGGCCAATGAAACACAAATATCGAGATTACAGCATTTGCAGAATAAAGTAATGCGTTTGATTTTAAGATGTAATAGATTCACTTCCTCAACTTTTATGCTGAACGCTTTGCAATGGCTGTCAGGGAAGCAAAGAATTGTGTTTTTGACTATGGTGTTCATTTTTAAAGTAGTTAACGGTTTGCTGCCTCGATATTTGTGTGATCGGATTGAAAGAGGAAGTGATTTTCATAGATATAACACTAGAAACGCGGATGAAGTAAGAACACCACATCTTTTGAATAATGCTTCACAAAATTCATTATTTTTCAAAGGTATAAATGTTTTCAATTCGATGCCTAGACACATCAGGCGTGCAACTACACTTACAGAATTCAAGAGACGCTGCATTTCACATGTAAAAGCTGTTTATTGAGCAGTTAAATTTTTATGAATGGATAAATCATGTATCTTGACAAAGTTATCACTAACGGATTATTTTGTATGGAGACTGTCATAAAGACATTTTAGTAATTTGTGTAGCATATACAAAAAAACTACATTGTTTGCCTCGATGGTGATGATGGATTTTTAGTTTTTTGATTTTGTAGTAGTAATAGTAAAAATAGCTTTGAGTAGTCTACAATGGTTTGAGCCTCGCGCGCGGAATGCAGGTATAAATGACTAATACGTGGAAATTGTGGCAAAAGCCTTGAATTAGTAAAGGATTGGCTGGAAGTCGTTTCCTTGGATATATTCCTGGCACTGCGGAAGCTTAAACGTGTAAATCCCAGCTCACGTGTAAATGGAAGTATTGTCGAGGACTATACTTGGACTTTTGATAACTAGTTACACCTTTGAATGTTTTTGGTTGATGCCTATAGCATATTTAACAGGACATTTATATCTGTAATTGTAACCAGCTCGATTTTGTTTGCAAACCTGCTTAAAATGTTTATATTTAATTATCTTAAAGATAACTCGTCCAGCTCAAACCTTTGTAGGGGTAAGAGGTGGGACCATCATCATCATCATCATCCTGCACCGGAACCTGGACTCGAACTCAAGACGACCGCATTGGCAAATCTTGACACTATCAACTTCGCTACGCCAACACTTTGCACAAACGTAAACAAATTAACATGACCTTCTACAACGAAATCGCTGAGTAGAGACTTTATAATAGTGCACATGAATATCTTTTCTCGACTAGTTCGTTCAGCTTTGCAAAGGAGCGGATTAAAAGCTGTGAAACTGCACAAGTCTAAAAATAAACCTCGATGACTTCAAAAATGCTTCCAAAGTAGCGCTAACACAGCTTATTAGCAGAGTACAGGTTGTTTGGTTGTTAAAAAAAAGCACTTTTGATGTTTATGTTGTTCAGCAAGAGTGGTTGGATATGTAGAAGTTATCAAATAAGTGAAGTATGGAACGCGCAAAAATTGGTCAACTTCAAATTAGTGTACATATTTCTGTTAAAAATGCATAAAAAAAAACCTGAAATGCTGCATTTAGAAGATGAGTGTATACACAATGGTTGCTATGATGAGTTTTCACCGTTTGCTCTCCAGTTTTCAAAATGACGTCCAAGCAAGAGGAGCAGCGTGTCAAAAATTTGCTCGCGCAGCAAGAGAATCCGAAGTTCTCACACACCAAGTTGGTAAAATTACTGGATGTGGCCACATCGACCGTGACAAATGTTTTAAAAGTGTTCGAGGAGCGTCTGTTGACCGCCAGGAAGCCTGGAAGCGGCGGCAATCGTAATCCGGACGTGGCAGCGACGACGAAGAAGGTGGCGGTGAAATATAAGCGGAATCCTAACCTCCTAATCCTGGGACGTCGGTGGCAACTCAATCTTTCCCATACTACTGTGCAGCGGGCCAAGAAACGAGCCGGATTGTCGACGTTCAAGAAGGTAAATGTGGCGAACCGAGATTAGAAACAAAACACGTCGGCAAAGCAGCGGTCCCGAAAGCTGTATACGAATCTACTCACAAAGTTCGACTGTGTCGTCATGTACGACGAAACTTATGTGAAGGCGGATTTCAAGCAGCTTCCGGGACAGGAGTTTTACGCCGCATCAGGAAAAGGGAAGGTGGCTGAAATTTTCAAAACCATCAAACTATCGAAGTTCCCGAAAAAATATCTCGTCTGGCAGGCCATATGCACGTGTGGTCTAAAAAGCGGCATTTTCATTACTACGGGAACCATCAATCAAGAGATATTCGTTCAGGAGTGCAAGCAATATAATAGACCTGTGCTGTTCTGGCCGGACTTGGCGAGCTGCCACTATGGGAAAGAGGCAATCGAGTGGTACGATGCTAAGAACGTGGTTGTGGTACCCAAAGACCACAACCCTCCCTACAGCCCAGAACTCCACTCTATCGAACAGTATTGGGCCTTGGTCATACGGAATCTTAAAAAAAAGTAAAAGGGTCTGTGCCTAGGGGCATAAACCGCATAGTGGACGGAATAAATGTGAAGAGCATTAAGTTCTTTTAATTGATCAAATCAGGCATAACATTTGATAACGGCACAAAAGCATTTGTAAACAAACATTCTAAGGCCCTTTACACGCGAACTAAAGTACGCCCACGCAAACCAATACCACTTACGGAAAGATGATAGTTGCCCCTATGCGATGATGTTGTTGGTTTGCATGGGCGTACTTTGGTTCGCGTGTAAAGGGCCTAAGAAGGTTTGTTTACAAATGCTTTTGTGCCGTTATCAAATGTTATGCCTGAAATATCTATTATCTCAACTCTTTCCGGTTTTGAATTGTAGGCGATCCAAATTTGTAGTAATCTTTTTCAAAAAGAAAGTTGATTACGAGAATCAATCAGGGTGGCCAGTGAATTTTCATTTTGAAAATCCCGTTTTTTTCCCGGTTTTCCCGGTTCAAATCTTAAAAATTCCCGGTTGTTAATATGCAACAAAAAAAAAACAAAATTTACTGATAGGATAAAAAAAATGTGATTTAAGAAGATTCCCAAGATTCTGGAGCTTTGAAATTTGTGTAGAGTCTGAAACTAGAACTTTTCTTCAAAATTTGTGATTAATAACATGCTTCTTGATGCAAGATTTGGAGAAACAATAATTAAAATGTGAAATTTTGAATTTTTTTCAAGATCACAGATTTATAAAAATACATCATACTTATGAGTCGTGGAGTCATAATTGTCACGCTCTGAGACTTAGAAGCATTTTAAGGGTAATAACAAATTGCATAGCAATCTGTAGAATCTGGCGGACAAACCTTGGAATTTTTACTAAAATTTAAAAGAATTCAAAGTGTTGATTAAAAACAAATATTGAGAAGGATTCCCACACAGTTTTCGAAGGAGAAGAGCAGATTTCCAGAATTATTCTTACATGAAATCCATAGAAATTGTTGAATGAATTTGGAAGGATTTCTTTGGAGAAGAATGCAAGTTCTAAATTAAACTGTTAGGTAATTTTAGTAGATTTAAAAAAGAATTGTGCAAATAAAAATAAAACATTGCAGAAAATTCCTACGTAGTTCTGATGAGATTTGTATGGGCATCGTGAGGAACATGACAGATGAATTTTAAGAAGAATTCCAAGAGAATTATGATCGGAATTCAACGAGAAACAGAGTTCTTAAAATGTTCTGGCAATAATTTCAACCCTAGTGCGAATGATTCATCACATAACCCAAACAAAATTGATTCCAAAAAATTTGCTGATAATTAGAAAGAAATTCTTTAAAATACTCCAAGGGGTTTATAAATTAATTTTCGAAAGATTTCTTTTGTTTTGAATAGAGTTAAAAGAAATATTTGAAAAGATTTTTAAAGGAATCAAAGTTCCGGATAGGCGGGAACGGGAATTATATGAAGGATTCCAATAAATTCTTAGAAGGGGTTGGAAGAAAATTCCTAAAAGAATTCAACGGTAATTATTACGCAGAGTGTTTTCTGGTTTATTTCAGAACAATTTCAAGATAATTCAGAGCAGAATTCCAAGTTAATTCTGGAATTCATCATGAGAATTTTGAACAACGAAAAATTAAAACCCCGGAAAAGAATAATTCAGTTTCGGTTTTTACAAATATTTGTTTCCAAACTCCAGCATCTTCAATATTTTCTTTAGAGGACCATGCACTTTACATCTGAAATTGAAACGACAAAAATCAATTTGCAATATTGCTGAGTGATGAAATTCTAAAAACAATAAGACGGTATACTGAAAAAATTATGCAACAAATAGAGCATGACATTCATTTGCTAAAGGATCACTCTGTTTAAATGGTTTATTTTAAAATTCTGATGTAAAAATTTGTTACTATGATATGGTTAATTTATTTTCCCGGTTCTCTTGCAGAATTCACGGGTTTTTCCCGGTTTTCCCGGTTACTTTCCAAATTCCCGGATATTTCCCGGTATTCCCGGATTTCCCGGTTTGCTGGCCACCCTGTTATCAATCAAAATCACTTGCACCCCTGCTTCTAAGTTTGTGTGGTCATTGGGGGCTTGTGGTTCTGAATATGGACAAACAAGCATAGATAAATTCTATTCCAACTCTTTACTGATGTAAGCTTGATGGCCCTGAAAAGGGCCGTTTTATTGAAGAGGACATCCATGGCCACTTACGCTTGGCGTGTTTAGTGTAGGTGACAGCATCACGGACCTCATTTTCCACGAACACCTTCAGCACACCTCGTAGATCTAGGGTTACCATATCAAAAACTTGAAAAGGAGGACATTTCATTTGAAGCTTGGAGATTAAGGAGGACAATGATTCCCATTCTTAACATTAAAGGAGGACACTGAGTTTTTATCAATCGTTTTAAAAATATGTGCGCTATCACAAAATTTATGATTTGCAAAGGTTCAATTGAGATTGTTCATAAATTGTAGTATTTACCAATTAAATTCATCTTCTCGTTATACTTTTAAAAAATGCATCAAATTAGCCTTCATAATAAATTTTTGATACTTTTAAATGATCTAGTCTTACTGATTTGCATGAAAACTACAGCTTTACAGCCATAGAATCATCCCAATTTTTACCATGTTCATGGAACATCTAAGCAAACTGCTAATTTTACAATTGATTCAGCATGGGACTCTAAGGCCGCTGCCATAGTAGGAGCGAAGAGGCGCGCTTAGCGTTCTATACAAAAGAGTTCCTATTATTGATATTATTCCTTACATTCGATTTCACGATTCGCGTGCCTCTTCGCTCTCAGTATGGTAGCGGCCTAAACACAAAATACCTAAAATACCATAGTACCAGAACGTCAAAATCGAACACAAGTTGAATTCAATCTGTGTGGCTGTGTTCCATTTGATGAATTTTAGTTTAAATTTTACAGATAGAAAATTTTCAAATAAACCTGCTATTGTACCAGTATTATTTCTGGCAGCCTAGGAATCAATTTTGACAAACATCTCGAAAATCACACGGTCAACAACAGAGAGATTTTCGAACATTATAATTTATTTTCGAAACATCAAATTTATGTAAACATTCAGAAAAATGGAACACAGACTGTGTTCCATTTGATGAATTTTCACTGACACTTCGAAAACAATCACCAAATGGATCGCAGCCTAAATGTAGGGGGTTGACAGCTGTAGTATACTCTTAGTCCTACCATCTAATGGCATTTGCTAGATAAGATGAGGTTGCGACATAATTAAACAAATAAGCTCGGCAAACAACGGTCTTTGAAAACAATTTTATGAATCTGTTACTGGCAAAAATACAAGGATTAAAAAGGAGGACATTTTCGGGCAAAAGGAGGATGTAGAAAAATTATTGAAAAAAGGAAGACATGTCCTCCTTTAGGATACCATATGGTAACCCTACGTAGATCAGACCGGAGATACGTCAGACACTGCGACGGCGAGCCAGACGACGGATGGTGGTTATCTCGAAGAATTTGCGATGACGATTGGCACCTCCTTTGCCACGACCTACTGCTACTATTGCTCACCACGCCGTCCGAAGCGAAAATGAGCTGATACCAGACAGCAGTGCTGCTTTATATCTTTTCAGGTTAAAGCAGAATGATGTGCAACCAAGTGGTATAAAAGCTACAAAGACTCCTCCCATTATGAGTAGTTTGCTATCAAGTAGCGACACTGGCTATTATCTTTTTGCGTACACGGCGAATGAGAACGCCCCAAATTTGAGTTTAGTTCACTCATAATCGCCAAAAGTGTAGGAACTCAGCGATTAGTAAATTTGTCTCATGATTTCCTGTGGAAAACCTAAAAAAACTGCCAGAAAATGATGAAATTGACGAAAATTTTATTCAGTCTCGGAGTACCAATAGACTGAGTGAATCCAATCTTTACTTTTCTCAAATTCGGGAATTTTTCCCTGGAAAATCCTGGCAAAACCTGGGAAAACATGAGGATATTTACTCATCGCTGAGTTCCTGCACTTATTTCTGAGATAACTAAACTCAAATTTGGGTCGTTCTCATTCGCCGTGATAGATATCGGCGTCTGTGGTTAGCGTGATTACCTCTCACCCCAGCAGGCCTGGGCGCCATCGGCATGTTCTAAGGCATAACATCTCTGGGAGCTGCCTGCTCAGTATGGAAAACAAATCTCGCGTCACTTTTCAATAGGTCCTATCTACATTGATCTATTCTCTTCATCGACACTCTCTTTCGTAAATAACTCGGCTTCACAAATCTGGATCAACAATAGAAAAGAGCCCATCAGCATTTGTAAACAAACCGTTCCAAAGCCCTTTACTGACAAAGCGAAGGCCACCCACACAAACCAACACCATCATCGGATAGGGGAAACTTCTACCTACAAAATGTTGGTGTTGGTTTGTGTGAGCGGCCTTCGATTTGTGAGGCTTTGGAACGGTTTCTTTACAAATGCTAATGGGCCCTATTCTATTGTTGATCCAGAAATGTTTCCTGCCGTC